CAGTAGGTGTCTGGCCCCTCTGCTTACACCCCTGAGAAAGAGCACACATCTCAGAAAACCATGAGAAATATGCCCTTTTAGAAGGCTTTGAAAACAAGTTTATTGGCCAGGCATGGCAACTCACGCCTATGATCCCAGCACTCAGGGAGGCCGAGGCAGGAGGTTGATTGAGGCCAGGAGTTTGAGACCAGCCTGAGCAAGAGCGAGACCCCATCTCTACCAAAAATAGAAAAATTGGCTGGGTGTGATATTGTGCACCTGTAGTCCCAGCTACTCAGGAGGCTGAGGCAGGAGGATCACTGGAGCCCAGGAGTTTGAAACTGCAGTGTGCTATGTTGATGCCACTGCACCAGTCCAGCCTGGGCAACAGAGCAAGACTGTCTCAAAAAAAATAAAAAATAAAGATTTTAGGGCCCATCCCAAACCCCCAACTCAGACTTTGGTGAGAGGAGAAAGGATGTTGAATATCTAAATTTTAACACACTTCCCAGTTGGTACCTTCAATTTGCTTTTCTTTTATGACTGAAAGTGAGCCTCTTAGTACAATGAAATTCTATTTATGTGTCCTTTTCATGTCCTTTTCTGTGAACATGGTGCTCGTATACTTTGTCCATTTTTTTTTTTTTTTTTGAGAGTTCTCTGTCACCCATGCTAGAGTGCTATGGTCCGATCATAGTTCACTGTAACCTCAAATGCCTAGGTTGAAGTAATCCTCCCACCTTGGCCTCCCTGTAGCTGGGACTACAGGCATGTGCCACCATTCCCAGCTAATTTTTTTTTAGCTGGAGACGGGTCTCACTTCATTGCCCAGGCTGGTCTTGAACCCCTGGCCTCGATACCAGCTTCTAGGGTTTCCGTAAACATAAAAGGGTGAACTATGGAATGTTTTATATACTCAGAAAATGTTGAGAGTGCTCACCCCTTCCCTCTGAAGCACAAAGTCTCTCCCCACCAGGATGAGAATCTCTTACTTAGTGCAAAAATCAATGAAAGGAGGCTTAAGATGAACGTATTTAATTTTGACAGTAAGACACACAGGAAAAACGTTTCGGTAATTTCTGCAGTCGTGCCCTTGATAACAGTTCTCTCTCGGCAAAAACGTGGAGATGAGAGTGTTGTAACGACTGGCGCTTTAGGGCCTGCCCTTCTGTCGTTCCAGATGTCGGTGCAGATCTCTTGGCCATGTGCCAGCGGAACATTA